ATATGCAAACATCAAGGCACAGCACTTTTCCTTAAACTTATTTATGACACAGAAGTCTTTGTTCACGTGTTTTCCTGCTGACCCTCTCCCCACTATTACCCTATTGTCCTGCCACATCCCCCTCTCCAAGATGGTAAAGATAATGATCAATAAATACTGAGGGAACTCAGAGACCGGTGCCCGCGCTGGTCCTCCGTCTGCTGAGCACCAGTCCCCTGGGCCCATTTTCCTTTCTCTATACTTTGTCTCTGTGTCTTTTTCTTTTCTCAAGTCTCTCGTTCCACCTGACGAGAAACGCCCACAGGTGTGGAGGGGCAGGCCACCCCTTCGCATGGAGTGGATATCACGTTATCTGTAATGTATTTGAATAAATGGATCTCCTCCTCTTATTTCCTGCCTTTTCCTATTGAGCTGTTTATCTGCTTTCCTTTTTTCTATGCTAACTTTCTAGTTATTTCCCTTCTCTATTATCACACTTTTTTTTTTTTTTTTTTTTTTTTTTTTTTTTTTTTTTTTTTTTGAGACAGAGTCTGTCACCCAGGCTTGAGTGTAGTGGTACCATCTTGGCTCGGCTCACTGCAACCTCTGCCTCCCAGGATCAAGCAATTCTCATGCCTCAACCTCCCAAGTAGCTGGGATTAGAGCCACCAGCCACTACACCTGGCTAATTTTTGTATTTTTAGTAGAGACGGGGTTTCACTATGTTGGCCAGGCTGGTCTCGAACTCCTGACCTCAGGTGATCCACCCACCTTGGCCTCCCAAAGTGCTGGGATTACAGACGTGAGCTACCGCACCCAGTCACAGTCCTTCTAGGTTAACAGATTCTAGTTGTGTTCATTGTCTTAATTCTATCTTCTGAAGTTTTTGGAAGCAATAATAGTTTTAAATAAGATATGATCAATCAATCATGTATTTACTATTGACTACAAATTTACTATGATATAATACTATATTCTAGAACCTTAAAAAGGTTTAAAGTCAAAGTCATTACTCCCAAATCCAGGATTCCACCTGCAGGTTTCTTTTTGCTCCACCTTGTCCCTAAAATTTCCTCTCCAGCTGTCTTTCATGGGGTTCTTGGGCAGCAGGGCAGGGCCTTGAGGTTGCTCATAATCTTCTACTTTCATAACCTTATTGTTTGGGTGAAGGAAAAGGGACAAGATGGAGGAAGGTGAACAAGATGGAGCAGTCCCTGTTGTTTCCGGGTTCTTCTTCACAGATTTTCCCGTGCCCGGGAAAGGAACCAAATCAACTGAGCATGCGCAGAATGACGTCAAGCCGAGGACACCGAAATTCAAGAAGCCACTCCTACACAAACGCCCCAAACTCCTCCCCTTCCAGCTCCCAGGCATGAAAGTCCGCGGCGGGCAGGAGCTGGCCTGACTTCTTCGGCCCCCTCATTTGTGGACCGGAGAACATCACCCGAGAGTGCCAGCGTGACTTCCCTGGCCCCCCACACCTGAGGACCAGAGAACCTCGTCCGAGAGTGTATGCATATTTGCAATAAAAGACTGCCACTTTCTTATGTACTTTGGCCTCATGTTTAATTACTTAGCTCTCCTAAATTAAGTTACATTAAATTAAATCAAAACACTTATATGTCTATACTGTCTGTTCCTTGGTTCCAACATAGCCTGAAATGACTGTCCTCAAGTAGGATACATATCTGATCCCTTATTACTGTGCATATTCTTTTGTTTCATATTCACTTACTTTTGTAAAAGTTCTCAGTGACTTTAGAGACTGATTCTTGACTTAGGGAAGTACAGGATCCAGATGTAAACAGAACGAGATAATGCTGGAGCTGAAAGGGATTGTTTATTCCAGGGTTGTCAACTGGCCCCATGGGCAAAGGTCAACAGACCTGCTTTGTTTGGCTCTCACATGGTTGAAAGAAATTGATTTACATTCTCATTTCCCAGTTCAAATTGCCCTACAAGAGACCACTTATTCACATCTAAGGAAACCCTATAAGCATTGGGATTTAGTTTAAGGCCCTCATTTTATAGATAAACAAACTGTGGTTTGGAAGAGAGACATATATTCGAGATCACAAAGATTTAAAATGGTGACAATAACATTTGCTAAGCATTTATGGCAGGCCCCATTCCAAATGCATCACATATCTTAATTAAATTAATCCTCAAATCCTGGAGAAAAGAAAACAAAGGCTCAGACACTGTAGGCACAATGTCACACAGCCAGTTTGAGGCACAGTCAGCCAGTTCTAGTGTGGCTTAACTCTTAACCCTTTGCTCTTCCCATCATAATAAACTGCCATTAGCCATGGCTGGAGTCATATAAATAAGCACATCTCAGGAAACAATACTTACCTGAATTTTATTTCTCACATCAGATGCTTCTCCAGTCTCAGTTGAAACTCCTGGTTCTAAATTCTTGCAGTAAGGCCTTAGGATAAAATTTCCCAAAGCATGGTCCTTGGTCCCCTGCGTTGAGAACTATGCTGTCCTACTCCCCTTCCATGTACAGTGGGGCCACAGAGTAGGATTGCCTAGTTTGTGCACTGCACAAGTACACAACTAAGAGAGCAAGAAGGGGCTAAATTCCAGCCTGTCTTGATTCTGAGAGTCCATGGGGCTATGTCTTCTTACAAAGAAGGGGCATCTTTTTTTAAAAAATCGATTTCTACAAAGGCACCATATGGGTGAGAAGTGGTCCTGCCCTTCGGATGAAGCTGCGTAAACTCGTGGGCTCTAGAGGAGTAACAGGTGATGACTTCGCTAAGTTAATCATCACATTCCATCCTCCTCGCTACCTTAATTGGTTGGAGAGTGAGCACATAACTCATGTAGGGCCTTTCCTGGCCAATGAGTCTTCATTTGGAGGCTCCTGTTTAAGGGTTGTGGATCTCTTTCCTGGTAGAGGTGAGGCTGGACCTGCTTCAGCCACCTTGCACTAGATGGGGCCAGATAATGAAGCTAATCCCCAGCAAAAATGGCCACAAAATAGAGAAAACTCCCATCTGGTAACTTTGTTGGGCTGTTGGTCAAGTTATACCTGAAGCTCAAATATACTTACGGACTGTGGAGTGACATAAACCCATACATTTTTTTTTATGCTGAAATAGTCTGGCTGTCAGTTGTGACCAAAGGAGCAGGGGAAGCATAGCACCTATTCCATACACACTCCAACACATGCCTGCTCCCTGTGCCCCTTCCTGGCTTTATGTTTTCACCACAGCTCTTGTCATCATCCCATACTCTGTCCTTTTCTTATTTAGTTTGTTGTTTGTCTACATCCACTCCCCATCCCTGATGAAAGGGATGATATGTATTGAATGATATATCCACTCAGTGAATTATTGAGGATTATTAAAATTTTTCATACATAAATGAAAATCATGACAGTTCTAGAACTAACTCCATACTATCCCAGCCTTCCAATAAGATGAGTGACTTCTTATCCATGCCTTTCCCAGCATATGTGCACATGCAGACTGTCAGCATTTCAGCAATTTCAGGGAGGGAGCCTTGTTATTATTATATCGCCAAGATGATCTTAAGTTGGTGATGGTCTTTAATTGGAACTATTTTTAAATATATTGTAAATATTTTTATATATTGTAAATATTTATAGAATGACTTGACTTTATTTTGTCTTAGTAGATTTGCTATCTGTAATTTTTTTGGATTTTTATCCTGTTCATCTCTACTTCTTTGCTATCATGAGGAATTTTCCCTCTTGAAAAAGCAAATAAATTAGGAGAGGGAGGTGGGCTATGGTGTTTTTTTTTTTTTAAACTTTCATATGTGCCATAGTCAGAAAAAACTGAGAGCTTCTACCTTTCTGAAATATTCTCAGCCGTGTTTCCTTTGCATTTTTTTTCGGTTCTTACAGGTAATACTGCAGAATCTGGCACTTGTTCCAACAGGGTTCTACTGTTGTTCTCAATGGTCTAGTATTCCCAATTTATCTTCTATCTCTATCATGCAGTCTGATACTTTTGTTTGTTTCTCTGACAGTGACTTGCCTAGAACCCCCTTGGGAGTTGGTGGTTGCAGTTTTGCTGAAGGTAACTATATGCTTTGAAAGAATGAGCCTTTTCCATTTGCCTGTCACCTTCTCTGAAATATCACTATTAGGAGAGTTATCTTTTGGGTTATCCAGCCTTTTTATACTTGAGAGGAGCAATACATTCTTTCTGGTGTTTTCCTCTTTGACAACCAAAAGAATGACAAGGGCATGGTGGATGAAGGAAGAAGAAAGGAAGGGAGAGTAGAAGGAGAACTGGTTAGGGCCGAGGCTCCGTGTCTTCCATTTCCCCTTTCTTTTTACTCTTCTTTCAGCCAGCACTCAATAGCTGGTCTTAGCCTGCTAATATGAGAGGGGAGTGTTCTCAGACTAGGGAATAAGACTCGGTGTGTTTGCCAGTTGGCAGCACATCATGGATAAAGCAAGTGGCGATCCACACAGCCTGAACTGCACAACCAATCCACATGGCCTCTCCTGTCTGGTGGCTTTTTCCTCTAAGGAATGCAAATGTGATCATACCGCAGCCATATGCTGTAATCATTGAGTCCATATTTGCTTCTTTTTACATGACCATGCAGATTCGTGACCTAGGGAGTCATATGTCTGTTTGCAGGCAAAATCACCTCCTCATTATTGAAGTAACCACCCCGTAAGCCATTCCAAACCTCACAGGGCAAAGAGAGTCACACAAGGCCACACAGGTTGTCAGTGGCAGTGGGGGAGATGAGTGTCCAGGGTCCAGGTCAGCTCCACCATACCTGCTGTGACTGTCATCCCCCTCATAAGCTCAGAAGCACTCACAATTAAATAGCACCCACTTGCCCAACCCTGCTCAGAAGTTGGCAGGCAGGTCACCTGCATCTCTCCTCTCCTTGAACCAGTGCTGTTGCTGGGGTGGAGGAGGCAGAGACTCAGATGAAGGAGACGAAGAAGCACTTGGGTATATTTCTTGGTTTTATTTCACTTTTCCACTTTCACCACTACTGAACTGGAACACAGCAACCTCTTATGTACACAATGGTTTATTAAAGGAATGTACGGCCCACATCAGCCTAGCAAGGATTCTACTGGTAAACCTTCCCATGGCCAAAGGAAAAAAAAGCAGGAGTTGAGTGCCTGGGGTGGGGTATAGGCAACGGAGAGAGGGCAGAGGGGTGTAGAAGCTGAAGGGGGCTAGAAGCTTACTCCTGAGTTTCTTCTTCTGTCTTCAAATCTTTACTTCTTATGGCCAAAGACCCAGCTGTTTCAATTGGCTGGAGATGCACTCTTCTAGACTACTCAAGACAGCCAGAGAGAGGGGAGGAGGGAAGAAGGATACTGTGGAAAGGGATGGTGGGACAAACATTTAGAGCTAGAAGCCACTACTGTGCCAATGCTAAAGTTCCTGTCTCTTAGCCTAAAAAAGCCAGTGCAGTAGGGGCCTTATCGCTCTTAGTTTGCTAGGTTTCCCCTCTGAAATAATGAGCAGATTTAGCCAGGTTAGCAGAAAACAGAAAGGAAGAGCACAGGGCTGTGCAGCAGTTAACAGAATCTTGATTCTTGCTCTATGGTCGGTACTTGCACAGGAAGTGTTGGCGCTTGTTGCATTCGTTACTGCTCCAAGTTAAAAAGTCTGTAAGAAAATAAACAGACATTTAAATCCATTCAGTCCTGTACTGAGCATGCCAGAGTTATCGGGGTGTTTTCCTTCGAGTCATAGATAAGGCGATATGATGGTTGACTTTATGTGTCAACTTGGCTAGGCTATGGTGTACAGTTGTTTGATTGCTATGAAGATGTTTTTTAGATATGATTAATGTTTAAATATCAGTAGACTTTGAGTAAAGCAGATGACCCTCCATCATGTGGGTGGGCCTCCTCCAATCAATTGAAGGCCTTAAGAGAAAAGACTGGTCTCCCAAAGAGGAAGAAATTCTGCCTCCAGACTGTCTTTGGACTCAAGACCACAACATTAACTCCTGCAAGAACTTCCAGCCTGCAGGGCGCGGTGGCTCAAGCCTGTAATCCCAGCACTTTGGGAGGCCGAGATGGGTGGATCACGAGGTCAGGAGATCGAGACCATCCTGGCTAACACGGTGAAACCCCGTCTCTACTAAAAAATACAAAAAACTAGCCGGGCGAAGTGGCGGGAGCCTGTAGTGCCAGCTACTCAGGAGGCTGAGGCAGGAGAATGGTGTAAACCCGGGAGGCGGAGCTTGGAGTGAGCTGAGATCCGGCCACTGCACTCCAGCCCGGGTGACAGAGGGAGATTCCGTCTCAAAAAAAAAAAAAAAAGAATTTCCAGCCTGTTGGCCTGCCCTGTGGTTTTCAGATTTGACAGCCCCCACAACTGCATGAGCAAATTCCTCAAAGTAAATCTTTGTCTCTCTATATATACATCCAACTACTTCTGTTTCCCTGCAGAACCTTAAGACAGATACTAACTTTCCCAATGAAAGAAAAACACTTTAAATGTCACACACCATGGCAAAAGCTCCACTCCAGCACTGCTTTTGAAGAAAGGCAGGGGTTGACATGAATCAACTGAGAACGAGGGGCTCTTGCGTTGAAGCAGGACGCAGTGAGGATCTGAGGGTGGCCTTTCCTAAGCTCTAAGAAGCTCCTGTTCAAAGTTAAAAGAACTGAAAGCTGCTAAAGCCATTCACATCCCAACAGGCCATCTGCTTATGAAAAAGGACTGAGCCCAAGGCGGAGGTGGCCTTTTGAAGGACTGAAGTATTTTTGAGGTGAGATCCAGCTATTTCCCTCCCAGAAGCCAAGCTCCACAGCATCACTTGTCATCCATGGGTGCCTGCAGCAGAGCGAGGAGTTGTTCCCTGGCTAGGTGTCTGCTTGGGCCCTGACCTTCAGATCTGACCCTGTTCCCAGTGTGTGTGGGGTGGGTGAGAGCTCTGGGGAGAGGAGGAGGTGAGGTGTGCCCCTCCCACTCCTAGGATGGGGCCTGCCCATGCCAGCATCCCTAGTGCTCAGCGCAGGGGCCATAGAGTATAAATGAAATGGGCCCTGCAAGCTTGTGGGTACTTTCACAGTGTGGGGCAAAGAGAATACAGCACAAGGCCATGGGCCAGGCTTGAGACTGACTCATCAGCCGGTCCTTTTGAGGATGCTGCCCATTGAGCCTGTGGATAAGCTAGTACAGCAACTTCAAACAATCAAGCACAGCACAGCTCACCACGGGCACTAAGCTAGAGAGCTCCACGTTTCCCACCTCACCAGAGGCGGAGTGCAGGGAAGGGTGAGTGAGAGACCTTATTTTCCTCTCCTCCAGGCCACAGAGCCATGAGCCTAGCTTGCACATGATAAACACGCCACATGTATTCAGATAATTAGGACGATTATTTCCTCCTTTTTATAAAGAGGCATTTGAGGCACAGAGAAGTAAGAGATCTGCACAGGGTCACACAGCTCAGTTAGGAGGAGCTGGGATTCTACCCTGGGCATTCAGAATGCAGAACTCACGCTCTTGACCTCAATGTATACTGAATATGAAATTTCTTTTCAAACTGCAAAATCCCACTTATCATAATTAAATGTCTCAAAGTGGACCAGCAAAACATCAGGAAATATTGCAAGCTGCAATTTTCCGGAGTCACAAACCACACATTCTGATGTAAAGGGGAGGGTCAGAAAGGGTGAGAGAGAAACACACCAAGTACAATGCTCTGAAATTCTTTCTAAAGAGATATAAAAAAGGAATAGCTCTGTCACAGAGAGAGAACAAGAATGTGTGTGTGGCTGTGTATTGGGGCATTAATATTATATCCATTTTGAATTAAAAAATATTAGAAACAGAGTGGGGAGCAAAATTCATTGTACTGATGTGGCTGAGGGGCATGTGCTTTTAAACTCTACCTTCCACCAGTTCTTCTCAAATCCTTGCTTCATTCCTTGTGCTCTTCTGCCTTGAGAGCCAGTGTTCTGACAGCCACGAGCTGGGTAAGTAACCGTGGGAAAGGAAAGGAACCCAAAGACGTGCTGTTCCCAGAGAGCTTCAGTCTTCCGGTTCCCATCCACACAACAGAGGCGACTTCGCTACTGAAGTTTGCTGATGTGATCACCGACTCACAGGGAAAGGACTTTTGTTTGAGAACTTTGTCCAGTGGGAATGTCAGAATCTGGGGAATGTGAGGGACTTGGGGAGGCATCTGGTCTACTGCTCCCAAACCAGGTCTGGCCTCCAGCCCCAGAGAGTCTGATGTTGCAGGTCTGAAAAGCGAATCCCTGATATTGGTATTTTTACAGTTGTTCCTCATTTGATTCTTTGGTGCCATGGAGCCTCGCTTCTAACACTTTTAATGCGTTAACTGCAATAAAAACTACAATGTCCACCTTTTGCTTGGTTAACTCTGGTTGTAAAGTTTCTCACTGCTTCCTGGGGTAGCTCGTTATGTGTTTGAGCAGCGCTAACTGTTCAACATTGTTTTCCTTGATTAGAATAAAAATCCACTTGTGGGTAGCCTCTGCCTATTGGTTTTGGTTGTCTTCTTTCCATCTGAGCCGACTTCTGTCTTGAACAGCAGCAGCTGTGCTCTCACCGGTCTGTGCACATCCCCTCTCTGGCTGTTTGTCTCGGAGGGTTTTCCTCAGACTGTGTCTCATCGTGTCTGCCCTTCGCCTCGTGCTGTTAGAAAGTTTTCTCACTCTCTTTTTCCTTCTTATAAGTTTATTCCTCAGACAACATTAAACTTCCCCCATGTCCTGCTGGGGGTGGCCGAGTCCCTCCTTTCCCCAGCCCAATAGCTGAGACCTCAGCCCAGGCCTGCCCCACGCTGACTTCTTGGCTGGCAGGGGGTCCTGGTGTCACTATGATGGCCTATTAGACCCACTGGGATATTCTCAAGTATATGACCTTTGGCATTGAGGATTCTTTAATATCCTGTGATCTTGTACAGCTGAAGTTTTCTACACCGCTTATTCGTCATGGTTCTCACCAGGGGGTGAATTTGCCCTCCACAGGAAACACTTGGTCATTCTTGGAGATATTTTTCACGACCTGGGAGGAGGAGTGCTACTGGCGCCCACCGATTAGAGACCAGGGATGCTGCTCAACCTCCTGCAAAGTACAGGATAGCCCCCACAACCAAGAGGTACCCAGCCCAAGGTGTCACCAGGATGAATGCTGAAAAGCCTAACTCATGAGCAGAAAGACAAAGAAGGAACGCAGGCCAGGGAAAGGAGGAGGCTCATGCAAGTGTGTGCAGCCTGCACTGAGCTTCAGGCCACTGCATTCTGGGGACAGGATTCAGGGAAACAGGAGGGAAGAACTCAGGCAAAGACCGGCTTTCCAGGGCTCATGGCAAACCCTCATTTTAAAGAAGTCAGAAGAGATGTATCTGTTTTCACCGCATATATTTACTCCCTGTGGTCTGGGTTTCCCCAAACAGGATATATATCCCCCTCCTGGTAAAGAATGTGATTTTAAAATAAGTATATTTCAGAAAAAAATGAATGGATTTGAAGAAAATATTGAGTAGATAACAACAGCTGGAACATTGATAGGACAAAGACTGTAAATGATCACAAAGGACTGAAGGTTGGTAATCTATGTCTGTGGCAAGGCCACTGCCCTGCTGGAGTAAAGAGTTGTTAGTGTGGAATGGGGAGGGCAGGAGTCCCCTGTGTCTATTTTTGCTCTTACTAGGTAAAGGGAAGGGTCTGCGCATTGAGAAGTGGTGAGGGGCAGTGCATTAGAACTTACTGTTATTGGAGCTCATCTCAGTACAGTGCTTGTTCCCACCCACGGACTTGCCAGACCAGGATCTGTACAGATACATGGCCCCATCAATCCACTGCCACCGTTGCCTCTGCAACAACAGGAGATGGAGAGGCGTACGGCTCAGCAACCCGCCTGCCACAGCCAAGGAAGTCCCTTCAGTCCCCTTTAAAACATGTTTTCATTGCAAACGTTGGGAAAGTGCAGAAATGCTTAAAGAAGGAAAAAGAGAAAGTCATTCCACTCAACCACTAATAGGAAAACACTACCAATGCTACTGCAAGAAATAGAAATAGATGTAAGTATTTATTCCATCTGAATGACAGGGTTCTGACTGATAGCAATGTGAATGCATAAAAATGCAAAATTTCTGATAGTGAAATAAATGACATTAAAAAAAAATTGCATAAAATATTTGTAACAACTACGGTAAAGGATTATTAGTTTTTCTGTAACATAATATTCAAAAAAAGAAAAAGCCATAAGATATTGATAGACAAACACTAAGGGATGAACATACATATTCATGAAAGAGGGTGATGAATGTGTGGTATCTTCAGCAGTTTTATTAAGAAGCAGGAAGTATGGGGGTTCCCGCTTTATGTTCCCTGTGTTTGTTTGAGTCAACTAAAGAAGCCCCACCAAGCATCTGTCAACTGAAGACCCCACACCTAGACCTCAACAACAGCTGTTCCTTACAAAGGCTGCTCATGTCATTTCTTACAATAAGGTATTGATGAAAAGAACAGGAAGTTACAGCGAAAAGCATCAAGGATAACATAAAGAAAATAAGAGCACCAAAAAAAAAAAAAAAAGGCTAGCTGAAAGTTTTCAACTTTAACTCAAGATCCAATGGAGATTTGATTGATCTGTCTCATAATAGGCCCGTGTGTACACACACACACACGCACACACACACGAACTTGTTAAGGCTTTAAAACGTTGGTAATTTTGTGTTCTGCCTTTCAGGAGGGCCTTAATTAGACAGAGGTCTATACATTTAAATCATATCCTCCACCGAGGCCCAGAACTGGGTCCCTGACCTTGAGGCCTTGCTCTCTGTCAGCTGGAGGCGCATCTGGAGAAGATCCACCCGCTGTATGCCTGTTATAGGCCGGGAGGCCATTCCTCAAAAAAGAGGATGCCAGCCTGGCTTTCCCAAGAGGGCCTTTGTGGCCAAGTCTGAGGTTACCTTCTGTGGGTCGTGCAGGCCAATCCATACGGGCTGGCTTCTCTGATAGCCACTTATGTATTCTGCTATGGTGCTGGCTTCCTTTACATTCAGGATAGATGCCAGGTGGGCTCCGTTTTCGTAAGACTGACACTCAAGCTACGTACAAGGAGAGGTCCTGTTAATGATGCCTGCATGTTTAAAGCACAGCCCTCTCCTCAGAACGCTAGTGTGCCAAGCAGGAGGGACTCACGCAGCCCCCACGTCCTCCACACAGAGTGCTCTAAACCCCACAGAAGGCTTCCTGCCAGCCTGGCAGAGAACACAACTACTGCAGCGTTCGGTCTCGAGAAAGAGGCAGTGCAAGGCCAGGGCGAGAGATTGGGGGTCTAAGGACGTGCCCGGGATCCTGGTCTTGCCTCTCAGGGGCATATGTGACCTTGACAAGTCACTTCACCTCTCTGAGGCTCAGTTTCTTCATCTGTAAAATAATTACTGCTACCTAGGACCTGTCATGAGACCTATTGTGTTATAATACTGCATTTCAACAGATCTAAGAAACTGCTGATTGTAAAATGTGGTATTATTTTATGTCCCATGAAGAAAGAAAATAAAATCACTGTCAATGAATCTATGATACACTGTGACGCAGCGTGTTTGTAGCACACACCTGATTTCAGAAGTGTCAGAATGTGAACACAATGTGCATCAGAGAACAGACGTTACGGCAGTGCTCTTCGCCGGACACCTCCAATACACTGGGCACCCCACCATTCAGTCCTAACAGCAGCCCAAGGAGATGGGGCCCACCTTTAGTTTACGGATGGGGAGACAGAGGATCAGGAAAGGGCAACTGGACACAGGACGAGAGCCCAGCTCTCCCTAATTCCTAAGCCTACATTGGGTTTATTTTAAATTATTATTAGCCGGCTGGGCTAATCCCAGCACTTTGGGAGGCCGAGGCAGGTGGATCACGAGGTCAGGAGATCAAGACCATCCTGGCTAACGCGGTGAAACTCCATCTCTACTAAAAATATAAAAAAATTAGCCGGGCGTGGTGGCGGGCGCCTGTAGTCCCAGCTACGCGGGAGGCTGAGGCAGGAGAATGACGTGAACCCGGGAGGCGGAGCTTGCAGTGAGCCGAGATCGTGCCACTGCACTCCAGTCTGGGAGACACAGCGAGACTCTGTCTCAAAAAAAAATAATAAAATAAAATAAAATAAAATAAACTATTATTAGCCTATGTTACATAAAAATAACACATTGTAAATTGTAAGCAGTGGTCTGTAACTCATTTTGACTTGCTAGTGAATGGGCGTGGATCAATTGCCTAAACATGTGAGGTGATCCTCCGGAGGAGAAGAGACGGCTCCCCGTGCTGGTGGAGAATCTCTGCCGATTGAAGGTGAATGTGCCCACCGCTTTGCCTTTCCTCAACAGTAACCCTGCCACCAAATCTGGTTGGATTTGGGGGTTTCCTGGGCACTAGAGGCAGATATGTAACTATCCGCTTTGTTGCAACTTTTAAAACTTTCAACTCTAGGCCGGGCGCGGTGGCTCAAGCCTGTAATCCCAGCACTTTGGGAGGCCGAGACGGGCGGATCACAAGGTCAGGAGATCGAGACCATCCTGGCGAACACGGTGAAACCCCGTCTCTACTAAAAATACATAAAAAACTAGCCGGGCGAGGTGGCGAGCGCCTGTAGTCCCAGCTACTCGGGAGGCTGAGGCAGGAGAATGGAGTAAACCCGGGAGGCGGAGCTTGCAGTGAGCTGAGATCCGGCCACTGCACTCCAGCCTGGGCTACAGAGCGAGACTCCGTCTCAAAAAAAAAAAAAAAAAAAAACTTTCAACTCTAATCCCAAATCTGTTTTACTCCTATATGTCTGCATATCAATCCCAAAGTTTTCCTTCTGAGGTCCTTGGCAAAACTGCTGTCTTCTTTCACATCCAAGGCCATGCAATCTGAATTTTTCTTGTGGGTGAATAAATGGTAATCACTCACTGTTTTAAGGACTGTATGAAACACATGACATGACAAATTCTTGTTCTGTAACCAGAAACCTATTGTTCAATTAAACAAGGCAAATGTTTATATATATGGGCGTGTGTATGTAAACTTTATTCTCTTCTGAGATTGTGTTACATGACAAGAAATTGAATTAATTCAATAAAATTTTAGTTTGGGTTGCTTAGGTTTTTACTGCTCCCATTCTTGCTTTTACTAATTTACCCAAGATTAGATGTGATTACTATTTAATAATAATTTAGTCCTCACACTTACAAACCACTTACAATATCAGCATGCTTCTATCACTGTAATTCTATTTAATTCTCAGGCCCATGAGGCATGCCAGCCAGATGACCAGACAGCATTTATTGAGTGCCCACTGGGTACCAACCACAGAAGATCCTGTGTCAGAAGGGGAAACAGGCTTGGAGTATGTACGTGATAGCCTCCCTCCCAGTCCACACAACTGGTACTGCTGGAGCTGTAACTAGAACTCAGGCCTCTGCCTCTCAAGCTCAAGGTCGCATGTCCATGCGCTTCTCACGTTGCCTCCATCAGCTTCCGTGGGTCTCAAGAGCCAAGGGCAGTAGCAACACTGGTGAGGAATCGGGGAGCCGCACAGCCCTTGTTGGGTTTGAGGGGTCCCCTTTGGCCTCACCGTCCCAGCACCCCCTCTGCATCCTGGTCCTGTTAACTTTGTTAAGGTTCAGCGTCAATCCTGTGGGCTGTTCTTTCTTGAGACCCTGAATTGGCCTCTACCATGTGCCATAGGCTTTATGCAAGTTGTTTTAATGAATCCTCCTGACAAGTCCATGAAGTAAAAAGTATTATCCCACTTTCCAGTAGGGAAACAGGTAAAGGGAAGTACCTAGTGAATTGCAGAGTAGTGATGTAAACTCAGGTTTCTATTACTTCACGGTTCCCAGACATCTTCCTCTTTGTTCTCTTTGTTTTCACAGAGAAAGGCTATTCCTCTCCACGAGCTCATTTTCTTTCCAGGGACAGAGTCTGGGAAGCCCTTTCTTCACTCTGTTTCTCTCCCCTTTTTATACAATTGTTCAGGACTCAGCTCAGACTTTGCTGGGGTTGCTGCATCAGTTACTCTCAGTGTAAACTTGGGCAAGTCATTTATACTCATGCTGCATTGAAATGTTCTGTTTCAATGTCGCAATCCTGCATTAATCCTGGGCTTTCTAAGGCCAGAGAATACGTTCATAGCCTCAGTAGCTGGCGTGTGGTAGGTGCTTCATTCTTGTTTTTGTTTGTTTGTTTGTTTTCTGTTTTTCATTGTCTAGTTTTATACAGGGATTCTAAGACCGCATGGGCCCAGATCATGCCAAATGTACCTATATGACTCCCCCAGTTAATCACAATTCGGCAGCATCGACTCCCCACACGTGGCTGAGATAACTTACTTTGACTGTCTATTTGGTGATCTCTCAGACAAAGCTTCAATGAAATAAAATGGACATGTCTGTAAACTGTGTAGAACAGTGGAAAAGTTTCCACATTTTCTTGGACTGCTTCACCTTCTGTCGGCGGCTCCAAGGTGTCTGCTCCAGGCGTGTCTACACACCTCTCTCTGGTAAATCTCTTACAGGAACTCCATTATCCTTTCTGTGAATTCCTCATCTTCTCTTCCTCCTTTGATTGATGTATTTCTGTCTCCTTTACTGACAGTGAGCTTGCTGAGGGTAGAGGCTATTTCCTATGTATCCGTATGTGCTTGTAGCCCATCTAGGGTCTGGCATACAGCACCTGCTTCAGCAATGCTTACAGAATTGAATGAGTTGAACACACAACCCTCTTCTCTCCATTTCACCAGCCAAACGGGCTTCTCTTCATAGTGCCCAGGAAGGACACTTGATCCTGAATCAAATGAGATCTGGGGCTCTGGCTGGTCCTTTGCTCTAGAAAGCCCAGGCCAAGCAGGTGGCAAATTTCTTACCTCGGCATCAGACCAGTTCCTCAGCTTCCTGAAGTAACCATAGCAATTGGACTTGTGGTAAAACCATCCAGGAGCACAGCTGGGTCTCCTGATGATATCTGCACATAAACAAGAGGCAATTCCACGTTATGATAACAAAAACAATCAATTCCCAGACTTGATACAGTTTGCAATCAGGAACCCCTTGAATGAAGAGAATCCCTTCATGAAGATTCCTGCTACACTGTCAAAAATGTATATAGTTTACCCTTCTTCTGGCTTTTCCCAAAGGGACATAAGGCCTTTTACCAGTGTGACTGTGTTTCTGCGATTACTGGACACTGCCTCTGAACTGACACTAATTCCAAGAAAATGTCACTGCGGTCCACCAGTCAGAGTAGGGGTTATGGAAGTCAGGTGATCAATGGAGTTTTAGCTTGATCTGCCTCACAGTGGGTCCAGCGAGTCCAGTGGGTCCCCTGAACCCATGCTGTGGTTATCTCCCCAGTTCTGGAATGCATAATTGGAATAGACACACGTACATAATTGGACTAGATAGACACACATAACTGGAATAGATTCTCACCAGCTGACGGAATCTTGTATTAGTAGTGAAGGTCAAACAACTATGATTTAAGGCATCACAAGAGTGGATGAGGGACATAAATTGGTAGTTTGGGGCATTCCAAGGAGGGAGAAGTCACTTTGGCCTGGGAGACAAGGGATGGGTTACATGGCAACTTGACTGGAACTTGAGCATAGGTGGGCTATGTGTCAGTACTGGGGGAGGGAACATTTTAGGCAAAGGAAGCAGGAATGTGAGGGCATGCATAGAAAGAGCAAGCACTTAAGTCTGCCTTAAGGGCTTAAGAGACAGGGTGTCCATCAGGCAACCGTGGCAGAAATAGGAAAGAGCCAGGACCTAGAAGCAAAGAATCTATGATTCAGGAAGGCACATGATTTTCCTACTAGTCAACTGGTGAATGGGCAATGTCGCTGTATCTGAAGGTTTATAAAGAGGGGGAGATGGCTGGATGTACAGAGGCACCAGGTGATCAAGGGGATGTCAAGCTAGCAAGTGTAGGCTTTGTGACCATGTGGCTACCTTCTGACACCATGATGGGTGCAAAAGTGTTTCCTTCCATAAGGGACGTCCGCAGACTGCAGCTGTCATAACAGTATGTTTTCTCTCCTCATTCAAATGATACTACTGTCTCCTATTTGCCCCACTCTTCTGTTTTATTTCAGCCCCTGCCTGTACATCTCCCAGGGCTTCCCATTGCTTTCAGAGGAGCTCTCTGCTCATCTAGCATGTAAGAGATTTTATAACCTGGCTGTATGCCCCTATCCAGCCACATGCTTCTATGCCACAGTCCCAGCTCCGTCTTGGAACATGAATGCTCAGTGTAGCTTTAGATCCTTTGTATGTGCTATTCCTGGTATCTGTGAATAATGAATAATGACCAACCTAGCTAAGGCAAGGCAGGAAAGGTTTCAGTGAGTATGTCAAATATACTACAAACAAACAGCAGAGATATTCATGTATTTAAATGCTTCATCTTCTACTACATTCAGAAATATGAACATAATTTTATGATAAATATAACGCAGCCTTTATGCCATTGCTGTTACTACTAGTACCACCGTCACCAGCTTTTGTAGATAAGGTGCTTGACTTTCTATCATCTCTCTGTTCTCTCCCTGTCTTTGTACTCTCCATCTCTGTCTCTTTTGTCTCTGTGTCTTTGTGTGTCCCTCCTTGTCTATGACTGTCTGTTTTCTGCTCTCATTCTTTTTTCTCCCTCTCCTTCTTGCTCACTTTTCTCTCTCTCTCCCCTCCCCTTTCTGCCCCTCACCCTGCGAGGTGCTTTCTTGGTGCCAGGCACCATGTTAAGTGTTTTATCCGTATTGTATTTTTATCAAGATTGCTTGAGGAGGTGAGGAAACAGGCTCAGGGTGGTCATCTGCCCAAGGTCACACAGAAAGATAGAAAAGCTGCTTTGCAGATCCAGTTCTCTATGACTTAAAAATCTATGTTACTGCCACCAGCCCTCCCAACCTTTATAAACATGAGAAATTCAAAACTTAGCAACAGAAATAATTAACTGGGCTGCCTTGATTATTTTGTCAGGAGGAAAAGAAATCCTTGCACTTCAAGGAAAAATTGATCTTCTTAAGAGAAGGCTGGCCATTGATTACCGGAGGGCAGACATGACATGGGCTTGAATTTCAGAAAGGGACAGCTGCGAAAACATGCCTTCCATTGTAATACCGGTGAGACTGTTCTGAAAGAGGTGGCAAAGAGGAACCCAAATCTCTGACCTTTGGCCTGAGGACAAAGACCCCTGGCATCACACCTGGGGCTCCTGGTTTGGTCTTGTGCCCTCTGAAGCAACTCTCCTTGGCATTCTGTGAGCAAACATATTAGGACAGACCCTCCACCACCATGGTCCTTGTTTCCCCTGGATCCAAGCCATGAAAGCAGAGGGCCTAGGGACACACGCAGAGGACTTGGAGGGTCAGAGTGGTCAGAGTGAAGGAGACCCAAGACCATGCTGGAGCCCAGACAATCACAACTCTCTCTCTTCTCTTTCTCTCCTTTCTCTGACTCTTTTTTTTTTTTTGAGACGGAGTCTCGCTCTGTCACCCAGGCTGGAGTGCAGTGGCTGGATCTTAGCTCACTGCAAGCTCCGCCTCCCGGGTTCTCGCCATTCTCCTGCCTCAGTGCCCGCCACCTCGCCCGGCTAGTTTTTCGTATTTTTTAGGGGGTTTCACCGTGTTAGCCAGGATGGTCTCGATCTCCTGACCTCGTGATCTGCCCGTCTCGGCCTCCCAAAGTGCTGGGATTACAGGCTTGAGCCACCGCGCCCGGCCCGTCTTTGACCTTCTATGCATCACTCCGTTCTCTCCCTGTCTTTGTACTCTCTGTCTCTTTTGTCTCTCTGCCTATGTGTGTCCCTCCTTGCCTATGACTGTCTGTTCCCTGCTTCTCATTCTTTTTCTCCCCCTCCTCTTTCCTCCCTTCATCTCTCTCCCCTCCCCTCTGCCCCACACTCTGCAATGTTGCAGCTATGGCTGTGAGCCCCCTGGTGGAGACATTTTAGCTCCTAGATACGCAACTAACAGCCGCTCTGCTGTGCTGTGGCTCTGCCTTCTGCTACCCCACTCGCATCGCCCAGGTTGGAGTGCAGCAGCGCCATCTCAGCTCACTGCAGCCTCGACTTCCCGGGCTCAGGTGATCCTCCCACCTCAGCCTCCCGAGTAGCTGGGACTACAGGCGAGCACCACCATACCAGGCTAGTTTTTTGTACTTTTTTTTAGTAGAGACGGAGTTTCGCCACGTTGCCCAGGCTGATCTCGAACTTCTGGGCTCAAGTGATCTACCCGCCTTGGTGTCTCAGAGTTCTGGGATTACAGGCATAAGCCACTGCACCCGGCCTTACTCCACAAATTTATTGAGCATTTACTATGTACCCGAGGCAGGTCCAGACCATTTACATATATTCTAATAATCTTCATAATAACCTTGTCATTATTCCTGTGTTCCAGATGAAGAAGCAAAGGCAGAAAGAAGTCATCATGTCCCAGGATCCTACAGCAAATAAATGATAAAAGCAAGATTTGACCCCAGACAGACAGTCTGACTCCAAGTCTTAGTTATCTTAGTAATGATGCTCAAGTGAATGCTTTAAATCCTATATGGGTCAAGCACATTCGTTGAGATTATTTTGTTTAATTACCAGAGCCTCCCTGAGAGATAGGTGTGGATAACCATTTCCATTGTACAGAGAAGGGAACCTCCGCACAGGGGTGAGTAAACTACTGAGGTTATCCAGATAGGGAGTGCGGTGGAAACTGGGAGAGAAGTCAATGTTTCCATGGTGGCCTTAGAACGTTGACCCCACCTTACATGGTGCTAGAGCCCCTCATCTCTATACATGCATTGTCAAGAGGTTTCAGCTTCCAGCGTCTTGCCTGGACTACTCTAATACTCTTTCTACTCCATCACTTATTACATGTGTGACCTTAGAAACGTGATTTAATCTCTTTTAGCTTTACTTTTCTTGTCTGTACAGAGGGATCAACAATATATGCCTTCTTCACACAGTTGTTGGGAGGATCAATTAAGATAACTCACGTACAGTGATTAGCACAGAGCTTAGTGTATAGGAATTGTTCGATCAATAGTAGCTAGTTGAAACCTGAAACTATTAACACCTATCATCATTATTATGTAATAGTTTTGAAAAGATAAGCCAGATGAAGTTTTTTAGTGTCCATAAATGATGTTGCCCTATGTCTCCCCGCTCACTGAATCAATGCCATGAATTGCTTCAGGTGAAGGGCAGGTATCAGGACAAAGAACTCACTGTGGAAGCAACAAGAGTCTAATATTCACTGAGAGAGAAAGTTAATTTCTAAGTCCCCTCTATTTCTCTTAAGTAGGGCAGTGCAAAGAACATTTAGGATATGTCATAAGGGAGGATCCCCCAAGATAGTAAAAATAAGTAGAATGTCCTTCTACAGCTGGGAGGGAGATCTACCCGGAAAAGAGAAATTGAAGGACCTGTGGTGAATGTTGTGTCCGCATTTCCTCCTCAGGAGAGAAGCCAGAGAGGTTAGTGAGATCCCAGGGGTGGGAAGAGGGTTGTATCACATTCCCCAGGATATAGCTCGGGCAAATTTCAAGTTTCATTAAGGAGGCCTGAAGTCAGCACAGAACAAGAGTGGCAGGGAACCACCTGGCCATGTAGAAATGGCCACAGAAGACAACTCTACAGGAGGGGCTCAAGAGCAGCCCCTCAGAGCTTTGCACTCTCTTGTACGATTTCTCTCACATGGCTGAGTTCCACAGGTCCTAAGAAGCCTGAGATAGTTCAACGAACGGGTGTAGGGTTGAAGGCAAAGAGCCATGGAGGACATATTAAGGATAAGCTATGACTAGGACCACCGGCTGCAGCCAGAGGGGCCAAGACGATGCCCAAAGAACCTTGCTTCTCTTCGTATGTCCTTCCAAACCATCCTACCGTTGGCCGAGGGCATTTCCCAGCAGTAGCAGTGCTAAGTAACAGATAGCACTGGACCCCTCTGGAAGCCCTCTTCTCAACGGAGGCAATGCTCAAACGTGGATTCTTCACTCACTCTTACATGCCCAACACCCAGCAAGGCCACATGGGACTGTGAAAGGCACTAGAAGCCCAAACATCACTTAGTCTTACTGTGTGACGTTGGGCAAATCTCTACCCTTTTCTGGAATCCATTTTCCTTGTAAATAGAGCAAAGAAATTATACCAGATGAGAGCACATTTCATTTCCTTCCATTTCTGGTATTCTGTGACATTTCTTCTTAGCTCACTTGTACAATGTTCCTCCCCTGCTTTCTCTATTGGTGGATTCTACAATATTGCTACTCACTTTGTTGCCATGTTACTTTGCACTTGATGTGTGATCTATAAATGTTTAAGCGCCATCTCTCCAACTCGACTGTAGGTCCCTTGCAAACTGGAATCCCTAATAATGCTCAAATGGTAAACCAGTGCATAAGCATTGAGGAATTCTGATTATGGCTATGACTTATTGACAATCTGCTAGGCAACAGGTGTTTTAAACACATTATCTCTGCCCTTCACAAAAAACTTGCTAAATTAATGTTATAACTTACACTTAACTGATGATTTAAGTAGGGGTTATAATCATATGGAATTGGGTTTTGTTGGATTCCACAGCCCTTGAATTTTTTAGTACTTGTCTTTGTTTTTCATCTCCATGTTTAAAAACCTATTTCCTGCAGTTCCTAAATGTTTTTGTGGGTGAATGGAAGGGTGAACACTGGCTGTGGCTCGGTTCCAGCTAAGTGATGGATACTCACCACCCACTACTCCTACTTTGGCCAGGCAGTTCAGCAATAGGAGCAACCGCATGCTTCTGGAAGCCATCTTCCTCCTCCCCTGAGGATGTAGCTACTGCAAGGATCTCCGAGACCTTATTAGCGCTTCTTTAAAACTCCTGGGTTCTCCTTGATCTGCAAATCTGAACACATTTGCACAGGTGAGAAAGACCCAGGAATCTAGATGCCGACTCACATATGGAGGAAAATAATACAATATTTTCCTGGCTAAATCCAGACTTTATAATGAAGGGAATCTCAAGTTAGATGTACAGGTTAGAAACTTTTAAGAGATTTTGTTCTTACCTGCAAGACCTCCTGGGCCGATGCCAGAGATCTAACTATAGCAGGCTGAACAGTTTCACAATCTGAATGGAGGCAATTTGTAAACCACTAAGCACTCGCCCCTGTTAGCTTCAGGAGAGCCAGCAGAGGGCGCCTAAGGCAAACTTCCTCACGGATAAGGCGGATATGGGCATTTTGTGTCAAGAAAATCCAATAGAATGGCTCCGACATTGAATTTTTAAATGCTAAAATTAAACGTGAGCACAGTGTCCAATACCCACATTTTACAGATGAGAAAACCTAAGGTCAATAAGTATGAGTCATTTGTTCATGGACAACAGCTTCAAGCGGATTTGACTCCATCAGCACTCTTTGCTTTACGCTTAGTTGACATCATTTTTAAAAATAAAGAACATGGCTTTATCTTTTCCCCATTAGCAAACAACACATGAGCTATTAGAAAATCAATGCAAAACTAGAAAATAAGAAGTAAACCCCACCTCCAGGAGATAGATAATTTGGTGACTAGCCTACAGATATCTTTCGTGTACAATTTTATATAAATGGGATCATATTGTCCCATAACCTGGTTTTGTTTCTCAGAAAAAGATTGATTGTAATAAATTTTCTTGCACTCACATAACTTTCATGCATTTAAAATTTTTTCTTTAGTATAAATTCTCGTATGTAGGGTCGTGGCATCACACAACATGCACATTGTCATTTTAATACCCTTTGTTAAATGTATGGGCTGTGCCATTTACCTCATTAATAGGGCACTAAAAGGATGGGTTCCCTAAGCTCCCAGTGGATGCTTAATTTTGTCAAATTTTTGGTTAATTTTTGGTATATTAAAGAACTTTAGTGATTTAAAATATTTTATAATTACTAATGAAGTTGAACATCTTTTTATATAATGATTTGCTTTTTGTATTTGGTGAATTTTCAGTTTACAGTTTTACGCATTTTTCTATTTCATTGTTTTTTTCTCCAATTTGTGAGATTCTTTTTGTATGTTTATTGCATTTCACGTGTTACTTATAGTATTTCTCAGTTTGTATTTTTCTCTTATAATTTTTGCCATTCTGAAATTTTCAAAAATATTATTTTTTATGTTTTTAAAAATATTTTTTAAATTTATATCAAAAGACTGCCCATTACTGTCCCATAAGGTTAAACTATTTATCAGTGTTCTCTTCTATTTTCATCTGTCTGGACTTTGTTCTAATATAAGTATGAAACTGAGTTCTGGATTTCCCTCCCAAATAATTATTAAAATGAGTTAATTCATTGAATCCACATTTAATCATACTTTGTGATTAAAAAATCTGAATATACAATCTAACTCTCAAATAAAGTGAACTGGCATTCATCGAATGCCTACCTGTCATGTTCATAAGTAAGCTGCACTAGGCCGGGCGTACTGGCTCATGGCTGAAATCCCAGCACTTTGAGAGGCCGAGGTGGGTGGATCACCTGAGGTCAGCAGTTCGAGACCAGCCTGGCCAACATGGTAAAACCCTGTCTCTGTTAAAAAATACAAAAATTAGCTGGGCGCGGTGGTGTAATCGCAGCTACTCAGGAGGCTGAGGCAGGAGAATCGCTTGAACCTGGGAGGCAGAGGTTGCAGTGAGCTACCAGACTGCAGAGCCAAGATTTAACCCAACAGCTTGACACCAAACGCAATGCTCTTTACAGTGAAGGAAGAAAAGAAGGTAAATAATTTAAATCAAACAACACAGCAACAGAAAGCCTGACAAGCCTCGCTAGAAATACAATTTGTCATTTCTGGCCTGGCTAATAGCTGACAGAGGAAAACAGATGTTTAAAGAAAGCCCCCCATCATCAACCGCAAGGAGGATTACCTGTTTGGCAACCAAGACTCTGAGGGCCCCTGCCTTCTTCAGTGTCTCCAGTGGTCCCTGTCAAAGTTTCCAGAGCTTTTATATCTTCTTGCCTCAGGAATTAATAATCTTTACTTTAATCATAAAGCAATAATATTATTTGAGAAAAATAATCCATCCATAGAAGTCTTATCTACAGTGAAAAAAATGAATCATATGAGAGACGACTTGAGAATGTACATAAGGTGTGCTCTGACTAGCCAGGAAAAGAACCTCTCCCTGTGTGCAAACACAATCTTTTCTTTACGTCCCGTTATTAAAACTGACAATATCCTGTAATCTGTTATAAGCCCATCTTCCTCTCCCCTTAAGTTACTTTTTCATGGCTGTCTTTTTATCCCTTGGTATTGTGGATTTCTTTTATTTCTCTTTTACTTCTAGAAGGATTTTCTGTCAGGGTCAGGCATGGGTTATGACCCATGCGGTGGGACTTGAGGCCCACACACAGATTTTCCTCCTAAAGCACCAACTCCACTCCCTCAACATGCATGAGTTTCCTCAGAGATCTACTATTTGAGCTTCTCCCACGGAACAAGGGTGATCATGTCAAAATAGCTTACATCAACAGAGTGTGTTACAGTAAAGGGTTTTCCCTTAAGTCATCAAATATCCTTGTGAGCAGCACAGGACAGACATCCCCATTACACACTCAAGACACCCGACCTTGAGAGAGATTAGAAACCTTCCGAGGTTCACAACGCTGGTCAGCAGTGGACCTGGACACTGAAACTTGTCCTTCTGACTCCAAATCTAGCCGTTTGCCGAAATACAGTCCTACTGAAAAATAAGCTATTTGAAAAAAGTAACAAGATTTTCTCTTCCAGCGTAGATGGCAAAGGATTACGTTGTAGGTGCCAGAGATGACTCAACTTCAAACTACGGATTTAAGTCTGTAAAGGACCTTTATGTCTGGAAACTTTAAGTCTGGAAGGGACCATAGTAGTTATCGAATCTTACTCTTTTGTTCTACTGGTGAGGAAAATGAGGCCTTGGGAAACATTGTGACTAGTTTACTGCACAGACAGTTGTGGGTGAAGCTGGTATCAGAAGCCAGCTTCCTTGCTCCCAGCTCAATGTTGTTTGAAAAATGCTACTCAGTCTTTGTTATTAGATTTTTTCCATCAGGTGCATAAATTCATAGTAGGACATGAGAAAGTAATGCTTTCATGGTTTACAAAGAACATTTTCGAGAATCTCTCCCATTCTGATGATGCTCTGGGAGAAGAGCACACAGCTTGGCCTCCTATGGCTGTTGGTTCAGGTCCGCATTCTGTTATGCACTCACTGTGTGACACCAGGCATGATACTGAGCCTTCTGGACCCTCAGATTAGATAGATCTTCTGTGTTCTCACCAGCTATTGCAACCCTCAGTCTGCTACCTCCATGCCGTTATATAAAGATTTAAAGCCTTTAGGACGCTGAGGTTGCTAATCTGTACATGGAATGATGGTATTACTAGATCAATTTATTTGCTGCACTACTTGTTTGACACAAACCTCTTTCTCTTTAGGCAGCTGGATGGGAATCATCATTGCTTCATGGCACAGTGGTGTACAAAGATGTTAACTCCAAGTCTTTCAACTTCAGAAGTCCTGGTCCAGATGTAAGACAGAAAAGTTCTAACAAAATGGTTGATTAGATAGATCTCCTGTGTTTCCACCAGCCATCCCAACCCTTAGTCTGCTACCCCACGCCATTATATAGATTGAAAGACTTGAGATGGGAGAGAAGAGAGTAGAACAGATGAGAAAACTAGATATTCATAGGTCTTTTAAGAGGTCTCTCATTGAACCCTCACATTGACTAGCTCCAAATGAAGGCATTGATAGGACTCACATAAACCTTTGAGATGCAAGAATATAAAGGACCAGAAAAATATCTGAATCAAAAAGGTCCACTGAATAGTAAGTTTATTTTTAAAAAATGTCTACATATAGACACCTCATACATGAAATGTACAAAGTGAGAATCCTCAAAGTCCCAAATCAGCAGCAATCACCTTCAAAGTAACAAGGATGGGGATGGCACCATAATGGAGAGATACAGTGGAGGCCAGGCAACTTTTGAATACTAACTTTATTTATTTATTTATTTATTTATTTATTTATTATTTTTAATTTCAATAGGTTTTTCGGGGAACAGGTGGTGTTCGATTACATGAATAAGTTCTTTAGCAGTGATTTCTGAGATTTGGGGGCACCCATTACGCAAGCGGTGTATACTATACCCAATGTGTAGCCTTTTCTCTCCTGCCACCCCCACCCTTTCGCCTGAGTCCCCAAAGTCCAGTGGATTGTTCTTGTGCCTTTGTATCCTAATAACTCCCACATATGACTGAGAACATACAATGTTTGGTTTTCCATTCCTGAGTTACTTCACTTAGAATAAGAGTCTCCAATTCCATCTAGGTTGCTGCAAATGCCATTATTTCATTCCTTTTTATGGCTGGGTAGTATGGAACTCTAGCTTTAAAGTGCAAAGGAAAACAACTTTCAACCTGGAATTCTGTACCCAGCCAACCAACCATTAAGGGTTAGTATGACAAAAGGATATGTTAAAGTTATAAGAACGTAGTTAAGATTGCTATCCATAGACTCATGGAAATTACTGCCTAAGCATGCCCTTTGTCAAAAAATAAAAGAATCCTAGAAGATATGTTACAATAAAGAGATAAGTGTTGACTGTATTAAATAGTTATAACAATGCTTAAAATAAAATTAATAGTACCTTTATTTTATTTTTAATATAAGTAGGAACAAAAATACCAGAAAATAACAACTGAGATTAAAGAGAGTTAGGAATGAAGTGAAAATATTCTAAGATCTGGCCGGGCGCGGTGGCTCATGCCTATAATCCCAGCACTTTGGAAGGCCAAGGCGAGCGGATCACAAGGTCACGAGATCGAGACCATCCTGGCTAACACGGTGAAACCCCATCTCTACTACAAATACAAAAAATGAGCCGGGCATGGTGGCAGGCGCCTGTAGTCCCAGCTACTTAGGAGGCTGAGGCGGGAGAATGGCGTGAACCCAGGAGGCAGAGCTTACAGTGAGCCGAGATGGTGCCACTGCACACTGCACTCCAGCCTGGGCGACAGAGTGAGACTCCGTCTCAAAAAAAAAAAAATCTGATCCTGATTAAATTGAGACTTCATTAGAAAATGTTAATTTAAGTATATGTGTTATCAGAGGCCTTTTTTGATAATGCAAACTTGATGTTGCTGCACTTATGATGAAATATTACAATTGAGCCCCACAGTCACCAAGACTGCCAGTAGAGCAGGAAAGTCTTTCTGAGTCGTACACCTTCACGTCACTCTTGCCTCCAGCACTAATACTCCATGCACTCAAATCTGTGCTCCTTCAACACCACATGTTGGTACTTCCTGGAACAACCCCATTCGAGGTCACACCTCCATGCCTTTTTTCATGTCATTCCTCTGCTTGCAACGCCCTTTTTCTCATTCCTTGTTTGGGCATGTTTATTCATCTTTTAATTAATTCATTCAATAAATATTGAATGTGATTAAGTGCAAGAATCTGGGTATATGGGTGTAGGTGTGGTAGGGAAGGGGACAGGAGGTGAGAAAAAGTTGAAGAACAGCCATCTGGTTTCTGTCCTGCAGGATCTTACCACAATGACAACTTGGTTTGGTTTACAGCATTACTTTGGAGGCTTTTCCTTATTCTACTCTCTGACAGCAGAAATGCCTTCCGTTGTGCTCACATACCCCACGCCTGGCACTTAGAGTCTCTGTTTTCTGGTTGGCTACCTGATATATCACTAAGCTACTTTAGGTCAGGGATCATACCTCCTTCCTCTCTCTCACCTTATGCTCAGCAATTTTTAGTAGCAAAACTAACCCAAAGAAGAGTAGTTGCTTCAAAATCTGCCTCTTTTCTTCTTACGTATTTCCATCTAGCTGTTCTGGGGAATAAGCAAGCTCACTCATATCTTTCTTTTTCCCACAGAGGAAACTTCACTTTATTTTTAATTTTTTCTTTTGAGATGAGCCTCGCTCTGTTGCCCAGGCTGGAGTGCAGTAGTGTGAGCAGCCTCCTATGCAGCCTCCACCTCCCAGGTTCAAGTGATTCTCCTGCCTCAGCCTCCCAGATGATTGGGATTTTAGGTGCCCACCACCATGCCCAGCTAAGTTTTGTATTTTTAGCAGATATGGGCTTTCACCATATTGGTCAGGCTGGTCTGGAACTCCTGACCTCAGGCTATTTGCCTGCCTCGGCTTCCCAAAGTGCTAGGATTACAGGCATGAACCACTGCATCCAGCCCAGGAAAACTTCACTGAACATATTTTTGGAGAAGACATTCACTTCTTTGTCAGGGAGAAATGCCTTATTTCCTCTCTTGGAAGAATTCATACTCTAAGCCCACTTGAAACAATTAAAATTCCTCTATGAGGTGATTTAACTTGGCTTCCTAAAAGACTCCAAATGGAAACCTGTGCATTAGTACATCCCTACAGGTAGACAGTACATTTCTCAAAAGTGGTATGTGATTAAACATGCTTAGATAAAAGTGAATATTCTGATAAAAAATTAAAATGTGATCTCTCTCCGTAAGTCCGCAGATATGCAGTAAACTCTCATCAGTTTGCGACATGCTGGTACAGCTGTCAAACAGAATTCCCTAAGATAATGGATGCATTCTAATCTGTGGTCTCAGTGAGGTAGTCACTAGCCACATACGGCTATCAAGCACTCAAAATATGATGACTAAGAATGGGGAATTGAATTGTGAACTTCATTTAATTCCAGTTAGTTAAACTTAAGTTTAAACAGCTATGTGTGGCTAGTGGCTGCCATATTGTACAGCACAAACCAAGAAGATGGGGGCGATTTTTTTTGTGGAAACAAGTTGATGTGGAACAAAAGATGAATTGTTACTGTTTGCAGGGAAGCTTAGAGACAAAGGGAAACTCATGGAAGTAGGTTCTGAGTACTGAAGGAATTGTGGGGAGTTTGGGGAAAAGCTGTAGAACTTGTGTTTGAGCCAAATGTAATTAGGTCGCCAAGCAGGAGTGCCTCAGCTGACACCTAGGGTCCACTTTAGAAAGAAATCGTTGTCATTCTCTGCGATGTGATAGACTGAGTCTGGAGTTCTTTTGTCACATCTAC